AGGAATGTGCCAAACTTCGGGAGGGTGTTGCTTATGTTAAAGTATGCCGATATAACCCAAAACACCTATGTCCAAAGTTGAACGGTTACGGAGATAATGGCCCGAGAAAAGTGTGGTCTTCTGGCGGGTCCACACACTGTACCTATCAGCTGACAAGTCTTATCGATGTTTGTTCTCAAGTGTGGTGATGATGGCTCACACTAGCCGCATACACTCGCATACCAGAATGCACAGTTAGCCATGTTACGTCAGTGCTTGCCATTCATGTGTCATGTATAGTGCTTGGAAACCTAAGGACAACTATGACATGGCGTGCAAGTTTTTTTGTAGTTCAATTTAATGGCTTCATGTCACTCACAAGTTAGTTTGATGTTACGTACATTATTAACATTACAGAAACCACATATTCCTGCCAGTTTTAATATGTATTTGGTGATCAACAAGTATGTAACACCTGTCAAATTTTCACACTTGTCTGGCCATTATCTCCTTAACTGTTCAACTTTGGACATAGGTGTTTTGGTTTATATCGGCATACTTTAACATAAGGAACACCCTCCCGAAGTCTGGCACATTCCTCCTGGGACACTCTGTATACACACACACACACACACACTTGAGTCACACTGGATGGTGTAGTTAAATCATTCTATAATATTGACTTGTGTGATGGACCAGAATGAATAAAGCTAAACTTCTTTCAGCCGTTAGTATTGTATAATATCTTGCACCTCAATATAGCTCAAGACTATATGTATACCTCAGTATTGGTATTATGATGTTATATGTGGATGCCACCAATTTTATCTGTCCCCCCTTATCCATGTTATGAATGTATGCAAGTTTCTTTAACATAATGAAACCTCTTATTTTTGTTTTAATATATTCAGGATTTGCCACAACTTGAAGAACTAATAAAGAAGGAGACAGAATTATATGAACGGGAGCATGGAAGACCATTCTTACTATATGGACAGAGTTTCTCTGATATGATCTTATATCAGAAGGAGCAACATAAAGAGAATCAGAAGTCACTTAAGATTACCAAGGTAAGTTGAATAAAATAATTTACTGGTCTACTATCTTTAGTTTATAAGTAAAGGTAGGCATGGTATCCTGTCCATATGACTGACTCTCCTAATAACTTTTAAACCACATCATGCATTTTCATAAACTTGGTATGAATGTTGTGCCATTAGAGACCACCCGCTGTCATATGTTTTAATTTGTTATTACTAGCATGGCAGAATGTGAATCTCAAAGACATGAGTAACTTAGCTGCCACTATTAGTTTAGGATACTATCATTTTCTGGGCTAATAAGGTTTTTGGAGAGTGCAGCTTGCATTATAGTAATTTGTTTGATAGAATTTAAAGCCAAAGGACTCTCTTCCTCTGGAAATGCTTGGCTAAGTATTTTTTTTTGGGAATATGGAATCCTTTGTGAAATAAAACCCATTGGTATCTTGTACAGAACACCATACTTCTCTGTTATTGTCCTTAGAAAGTAAAAGTACTGTTAAATGAGGGAAATAGGCATAAAGAAAAAAAATTGTTTGGAATAGTTAGAAATGAAGAATGGAGTAAGTTGAGTTTGTTATGACATTTATCTTACAAACTTAAAAAGGTACACATATTTGTTAATATACTATCTGAGATATATTTTAGTAATTATGCAGTAAAGTGAAACAATTATTTTAAACAGCAATAAATATTCTAAATTGTCATTTAAGATTAAAATATTTGATAACAACAACAACAACAAAAATAACAGTATTGTAATACATTTAATATATAAATTAATTTAAAATTATTATTATTATTATTATATTATATTATATTATATCATCGCGTGTTGGGTATGTCATGCAACAAATAACTTCACATAGTCCTCGGAGTCAGTGATCATTTATTCTCCTTCTCTTTTACGCTTACATACTCTTTACACTGTCACAGTCAATCCTTCTACTGTGGTCTTTTCTCGACTTCACTCGGTGAATGCTAGACTTCAACTGCATTCTGCGGCGGCTTTCTCCAGACTGACTCGTTACCGCGGAAGTGCATTATTCCTGCTGGTTCAACAATCTGTTGCTTAGGAAATGCAGTATTTCCCGTTGTTACTCGACAATTCATTACTACAATTTGTCGCTGTGGGAACTCCACAGTTTCTACCTATTCGTTGCCGTGGAAGTGTCCGTTTCGATTGTAGCGGTTGTCTTGGTGATGGACGTAAGGTAACGCGTCACAATATTATATATCATATTTTATTATTCCTATGCTTAGGCATGTATTTAACTTGAGCCTGATGCAGCAGTATTTTCCTGTTGCATGGAAAGAATCCGCTGTGAGCAACTACAGACCCATTTCTACTCTCAGTAATTTCTCTAAATTGTTTCAATTCATTATTCATGATCATGTTTCTCTTTACGCTAAATTTAATTCAAACCAACATGGCTTTGCCAGAGCTAAATCTACAGTTACCAATTTGGTGATGTTTCTCGACTTCCTGATGCCTGCTGTCCGCGGTCAGCGTCAAGCTGATGCCATCTATTTTGATCTTTCAAATGCTTTTGACCTCGTCTCACATAATATGCTTTTGCATAAATTAAGCTCCTTCGGATTCTCTGATGCTTATGTTAGTTGGTTTCTCAGTTACTTAACCCTTTGACGCGGTAATTTAAATTCCGCGGCTGCGTCTCCTGCGGTAATATATTCAGCCGGCCATTTAAATTTTGCTCGAAAATGATTTATTCATCATGCCTTTTGTTTTCAACGTATTTATAAATGACCTATGCAACCCTGTTAACTACTGTAAATTTCTAATTCTTGTCGATCTAAAAATTCTCGGCATTATTAACTCTCCACATGATTGTCTCTTACTTCAATCTGACATTAATCCCGTAAGTGACTGGTGCACTGCTAACTCCATGAAACTTAATATTGCTAAAACATGTGTTGTATCATACACCAGAAAAACAAATTTTCTGAGCTACGAGTATTGGCTTTGTCATACTATCATTACACGCACCAGCAGTATTAAGGATCTGGGTGTTTTCTTTGATTCAAAGTTACATTTTCACACACATGTTAATTACATATTTTCTGAATGCATAAAGCTTTTTCAATATGATCCTCTCACAGAGCGGCAGAGTGCAGCGTGGTTGAGCCCAAAGAAGCCGAACCAAAGAAAGTGCGCATGCAAAAGAGTCGAGTAAAGACACTGCTAACCGTTTTCTTCAATTCCAAAGGAATCATTCACAAGGAGTTTCTGCCAGAAGGTCAAACAGTGAATTCTGATTATTATCTCGGGGTCCTCAATTGTTTATGAGCGAGAATTCTTCGAATTCGACCTGAATATCGAGAGCAAGGTTCCTGGTTGCTGCTCCATGACAATGCCCCACCCCACAAATCGAAGATCACGCACAAGTTTTTGGCCAGAAAAGGTTTTACAGTCCTTAATCATCCTCTGTATTAGCTAGAGTTGGCTCCAGCAGATTTCTGGTTGTTTCCAAAAGTTAAGTTGGCAATGAAAGGAGGCTGTCATGACACCATCCAGGACATCCAAAGGGAATGTACCGCAGTTTTAAATGGTGACTGTTTTCGAAAACTTTTCAATCGATTCCAGCTACGAGTATGTATTGATTCAGAAGGTGACTATTTTGAATAAAAAGTGTGAAATTTTGAAAATAATTCATGTCTTGTGTTTTTAATTAACACAGTCCTAACAGAACCTGGACACACTGTGTATTTAATGTTGAATTTCTAAATATCTCCCATAAAAATATTTGAATAAAGCATAAAGTGGAACGAGATGGAGGGATTTTGTTGAGTGTCTCATAGGTTGAAGCTGTTTTTCTGGAGCTTTTATTTGGAATCATATTACCATATATAAGTAAAATTAACAATGAAATAAAGGGGGGGAAATTCTTATACAGGAATAATGCACAAAGTGAATAAAATAGAGACATAATGGGGATGCTGTGTGTCTGTCTGAATTCATGTTTTATCTGTGATGCTACTTAACTAATTCAAATGACAATTTCAAACAACGGATTTTGTGCTGAAAACTTTAAGGCATATGTAATTTTAGTCTGTATCAGTCCAGTGTCAACTCATTCAGGGCTGGGATCAGTGGTGGGCTCTTGTAATGTAATGAATATTTGATTGATTGATCAGTAACTGTCAGATGACAGGTCCACAGTCTCTTCCAAAACAGTTCCTCCACTTAATGTGATCTTCTGTTTTTGGAAAGAGACTATCCAGGAAAAGTGATAATGTGGTAGTTTTTCCATTTGCTTTCCACATCGCAGTACAGCAGCCGTTCAAACCACTCTGGTCACGCCTGTTGCTATACGAACTTGAACCATCTCGAGCATCATTTGTTCTGTGCTTCAAGTCGCTGCTGATGACGCTGCTTCCGGCATCAGTTTTTGGTTTTTGGTGTCTCTCTTCGTCTGATGCCTACCCTTTGACCTGTCCAGCAAGGGAGGCCCTGCCAGTAGCTATGCTACCGCTGGTATAGCTCTCAGGGTCCTTGGCATACTCAAACCCCTCACCACGATAAGGTGAATATTTGGGTTCCATAAAAAGTGGGAACTTCTTGACCTACTGAGTGAAGTGATAAATGTTGGTACTGAAATGTTCTAGGAAGAGGCTATATTAGTTCCAGTACATGTAGACATTATGGAACTTTACATTCTTCTTGTTGCAGAAAAAATGTGAAAATAGTGCTGCCCCTTCAACTGCACCTAAGACGATAACTTCAGTCTCCAAACTGAAAAGGAAACTAGTCAGTAACATCCAGAGTCCAGCTAGCGCACAGGATAAACAAGCAAGGGTAGCATCATGTGAGAAGCATGCTTCCCACCCTGTTGAAGCCTCTCGTCCAAAACGTGGCTTGGTAACTTTTTATTGATTTGTGCCAGAAATGCTTAAAATGAATGTAAAGTGTGGAGGCTTTACCTGCTTGCATGTTTTATTTCTCAAACTTAGCCTCCCCTCTCATCTTCTTTCACCAAGGCAGTTACAGGAACAACAGTCCGGGAACTTTCCCACTAAATTGCTGTCAATGGTTAGCATTCCTCTTTTGTATTTTGGAGGTTTTGACCTCATTTCTCTGCTTGGATGCTGGCTATTCCCC